TTCGCTCGCCAAATCAAAGCCACCTCCGGGCACTCCACGGGCCCAGGAATTGAGCTAAATTCATACAAGCATGTGAGTTCATACAAGGGCAAAAAATCCAAAATAAATAACAAGGTATAAACGCCCGAAGGCAACAAAGCAATATTAAACCGACCAAGAAGGCCGGCGGTGTTCAAATCATACAATGAACGGGCACGCAGGCCCAAAGAATACAAATACAAATGCCAAGGGCCCGCAGGCCCGCTACCCTACTCAAACTTCCACATTCTCATCATTGTCGACGCCGGGAGAGTCGGGCGGAGGAATGATCGCGCCACCTACAACCCGGTGTGTATGACCAATACCCTCGGTGACCAGGCCAGGGTTTAGCAATGAGATCTGTTCGACTGCAGAATTGAACCCGTCTTCCAGAGCACCGACGCAGTCCACCTCGAGGAGCCGGATATGGGCGATAAGCTCAGCCCGACTCTTCAAAATCACTAGGTCCTCGGGCTCATCTTCGGCAGGTTGCTGAACAGCATTCAGTTCCTCAACCTGTTTACCCAGGCGTTCGACTTCAGCAGCCAAGCGATCCCTGTCGGTCCGGAGCAACTCCCCTTCCTCAGTCAACCTCCCCGACTTCTCCTTTTCCAAGGTCAGCATCTCCCTCTCGGCATCAAGTATCGCGGTCTGCTCTCGGAACATCTCCTCGGAGCGTTCCAGAGCGACCTTCAACTTCCGCGAGCTCGCAGTCAAGGCCGCCTTCTCCTGCTCGAGCTCTTCAACACGAGCAGCATCCCCTGCGTCCTCAGATAACACCAGAGCCATTTCGGCCATTTTAACCAGCCCGTCCACGCTGGCGACCAGACGCGACTTCCTCTCCTCTTTAGTCATCCTCTTGATGGCCTCAGCTTCATGAGCGACCACTGTCGGAGGGAACCGCTCGAAAAAGCCAGCCTCTTCGAAGCAAGGGGGGAAGGCAAAAGATTGAACAGCTCCGACATCCTCCCCGACAGTCGAACCGCCTTCCACGCGGGTCCTCTTCCTCTGCGTCAAAACGGCGCTGGGGTCGATCTCCTCGACCTCTGGATCTGATGCTGCTCCCGAACTCGACGTCGAATCCACCCTCACCGACTGAGGAGCGTTCAGACTCGGTGGTGGTCCCATTCTCGTCGTCTTCGGGGCCTGCACGACCCTATTGCCTCGCCTATGACCGGTTGATAATTTCAGGAGCCTTTCATGTCGGCTGGCCATCGTACCTGCACGAAGTAAAGGAAAAGTCAGTATCGAGCAAACCGCTTAAATAAATGACGAATAAAGAATTTCAAGCAAACAACCTAACAGGCGGGCTGCCTGCCTATATGTCGAACATTCCACCAACGCCTTGGTGTCGATCGGGCGGGACTCGAACGTCGGGTAACCGTCCTTGTCGAGGATATCATTCCCTTCCCGCGTAACCCACTGGGCGGGATGAAAACTGTCGACAAACCGGCAAAGAGCCTCGTACGCCCGCTGGTCTTCCGTGCACATATCCCCGACTGCGGTATGGAAATAACCTGTTCCATGCTCATAGTGTCGGGACATCCAATACACCGGGAACTTAGCCCTACGACCTAACACGGGGCTCCCGTCGTCGGCCAACATTGCTTCCCCGTCATCATCGTTGACCGGCCCTTCCTCCTCGAAGAGGGAATCTACAGCAGAGTCGGTAATAGGGCGTACCACATACCACTTGTCCTTGAACCCCCTCACAGAGTCCATATACATCCTAAACAGTCTCCTCGACTGCTTCAGGGACACCCAGCTGTGCTTCCCTCCTCGGGACTGACGCTGCAGGTGAAATACCCGAAAGAAAAGAGGGATGGTCGCCCCTATCCTTAAGTAGCGACACGTCAGCTCAAACGCCCGGATGAAGGCGAGAGAGTTTGGGTGTAGCTGGGACGGGGCCAGCTCCAAATGCGTAAAGACCCCGGTCTGAAAATCTGTGAACGGCAGCCGCAACCCTAAGTCTTTAAACGCGATCTCGTACATCGCAAAGCTGTAGTCCGGGTACATTGAACAAATTCTTGCATTGGTCGACGGAAGCATGACCACGAAATTCTGCTGGAAGTCGGGCTGGTCCTGCCCCTCTTCAATAGCGGTGAATGGATGTCGGTCATCCCGACTGTATATCGACGCCGTCCCCCGAGGCTCGGCACCCACCCATTCCAGCGATGGGTCGGTCACGGTATCTATTAGGGTGGCCGACTCGTCGGCACTCTGTTCTTCGCTATCACGACGACCGGAGGAGCTCGGCTCATCCGCCATGGTTACCTGCAGAGCACGGGAAACCAATCAGATTGAGCATGAAGTCCTATGCTCGACATAATCATGTCGTCCATACACTACTACACAAGTCCATTTTCACAAGTGGATGCCTCCCCGACTCTCCTGAACCCAGTGTTCTTCCTCAAACCAACTGCGCGGCCATTCTTCAAAGCATGTCGACCCGAGGTATGAACATGGCGAGCCGCACTATGAAGCCCACGACCACGACCATGAACATACCGGGCACAGTCATGAATTAGGCGCCCGGATCATGAAGACCCCGGGCAGCTCTGAAGTTTTTCACCTAAAACTATGAATGTGTCGGCCATGAGTATGCGTTTGCCGGTCCTAGACATGAATATGTCGGGCAAAACACGAATCTACCGGGCTAGTCCCACGCACACGATCCTAAAACATCTACAAATTCCAGGAATCATGCATTCTAAAACGGAAAAATAAAGAAAGTAGATCACTTACTTGGATCAAAGTTGGGATTTGACTAAGAAATGAAGGATCTGAGACGGGAAGTCACAACTGGAGAAAGTGTTGAGAGCGGCAACGGAGAGAGCACGGAGAACGGAAAACATATTATGGGGCCCCAGGGACCCTATTTATAGTGATGACGTGGAATACCAAACGTCACCTCGTGCAACCAGCGAACTCCATCTCCTCGACGCACTGCTCCCAACACAATGATGGCCCTACCCCCCTAGGGTGGCGGCACAACTCCCGAAAGATGCCTCGTGTGCTCGACCGACGCGCCCGGTACGGATCCTCCACGCATCCACCACCGAGGACGTCCCCGAGCACGACACGAGGAGACCCCTCGAGGGTCCACACCTCCATCCCGGGCACGAGACCTCAGCGACGGAAAAACTTGGTTTCAAGTCATGGCTCCTCGCAAAGGAACCACGACTTGGGGGGCTCCTGTTCTGGACTGGGCCCGACAGGCCCAAAAGCATTACTAAGGCCCAGTCCAAAGGGACTCACTCAGGACCACACTGGGAAAAGGGGGTCGCGTCCATGCCCGACACCCTGGTGTCCACCTCGACATCTCGATGTCCAGCCCCACGCTGTGAAGTCATGCTCGACACCCTGTCGTCCGGCTCTGTATCCTGACGTCCAGCTCGACACTCGCTGTTCAGCTCGAGGTCTTGGCGTCGAGCTCGGCACCGCGCAGAGCAGCTCGACATGGTCTCGAGCTACCCGACTAGGGCAGACTCAGTCCACCGTTGCCCCAACGATACTCCGGAAAGACCGCGTCTCCGTCCGCCCGCACTTCACGCAGCACATCCAGGAAGGGGACCACGTGCTGGTCCCCACTACCCACGTAGAACCTGGCAGTTCCTCCATTGGGCCAAATCCGCCCGGCCCAATGAAGGAACCTTGGGCCAGCGCTGGGGGCTATAAATACCCTCTGTTTCCAGAGGGTCAGGTATTCATCATTCTAACCTCAACTCTATTATCTGCTCGTACTCCCACTGACTTTAGCATCGGAGTGCCTTGCAGGTACCCCCCCTCCTCGTTCAAAAAGCCTTCAGCTCGGAGCAAGCCGTGACGGTCCAAACCTTCTGATCAGGTCAGATCAATTAATAATACTTATAATATTATTTAATTTTTTATTATTTTTTAAATTTACTAATTAAATCTTTAAATAATATAAATATATCTATTAACGATAAATACTTTATTATTTAAAGAATTTTTTATATATATAATACTAATAACAGAGATATATTATAATAGAATATAATATTATTATAATTTTATTTGTAAATTATAAGTAGTTCTAAAATATTTTTTTTACTTTGAGAAATTTTAACTAGTGCCTCGCATAAATCTATTTTTTGTTGTGCTTTTATATTATGCTACCCTGTCTTTCTATTTTTCTTGTGGACATGGTTAGGTTTATTGAATTGAGCTCCATTCTAGAGCCTGTAAGGCCTGCCAAAACAGACAAGGCTGCTATCATGATTGATGTTGTCTGAATGGCGACACAGTTAAAGGGTGAAGCTGAAAAGTTGAAAGATACTAATTCTGTTCTTGAAGAAAAGATTAAAGAATTGAAGGTGGAGTCTTAATTTATATTTGTTTTTTATGGTGTGCTTTCACATGGAATAACTTATAAGGGAGATATATTTTAGATCCCTTGAGTTTTTATGTCTTAAATACCTTTTTTTATTGGCGAATGAAAAACTCATAATGTAAACTGTATAAAAAATCTAGGTTGAGAAGAATGAACTCCGTGACGAGAAACAAAGGCTCATGGAAGAGAAAGAAGTTGGAGCAGCAGCTGAAAAAATTGGTGTGGTTGATGAGCATTGGATTGTTCATTAGCTGCAATTCCTACTCTTGGTGTACAAGTTAGTCACTATCACTATCTTACAAAGATATTTACTGCTACATATTTTGTGATATAAAAAACTAAATTGATTGTGCTTTCAACTTGCAATATTTTTATTAAAGTAATTCTAAGATCTATATGTATAATTTTTAGGGAGAATCCGATCATGGAAAAGACAAATATGTTGCAATATGTTTATTTGACACGAAAACGATATTATTGTCACAATTCTCTGCATTCATAGCATTACTATATAAAATCGTTTTTCTGATGAACTACATGTGAAATTTGTGCAGTATAGTATCAAGGAGTATGAATGCATTTGTGTTGTCTTTGAATGTGTGCATGGCTTATATTACTTTGATTGAAGATGAATAGAGAAAGAAACATTGAAACCGAGGTGGAGATTTCATATTGCAAAAATCGAAATCTCATATTCAAGAATGAATCAGATGTCACTGATCAATCAAAGGGTGAAGTTGTGAAATTTGCCTCGAGACGGATTGTAAGGTGGTTGTTTCCAACAACATATTCCTGATTTTCCTGGTCATTGTATCCTCGGTCGATTAATGTGCATTCAGAAATAACATGAAGGACAATTAAAAGAGATATTAAGCTCTTCAATATTATTAGCATGTGTGTAAATTTCATGCTGTTTTTCAATACATTTTGATTGTTTGTGTAAATTGCTCAACTTTATTTTTTCACTATACTTTTGTGAATGGTAATACCTTCAATGTAGACAATATTTTCTTTGGATGAATTACAATGATGATTCATGATCCATTGTTTTTCATAATATTCACAAATAAATTTGGAAGACGATTTTTTAAAATTTTAAATATAATGGAAGGAAGAAGTAAATTGAAATACAACAACTCAAGTTTTTGTGGTTTGAAATGAAGATGTTGGATTTCTAGGAAATATGTAGAGTGAAAATAAACCAGATCAGTCTAGAGGAGTCTATGATCTAACCTATTTAAGATCAGATCAGACTTATTTATTAAAAATGTAAGACTTAAATTTTTTTAAAAGCTTATTTAATTAAATAATTCAGACTTAGAATATTAAAAAACATATAAAGTCTTTTATCTACATGATATGACCATAAAAACAACATATGATTTGAGCATAAAATATGTACAGGAGACATTGCAGAAAAGCCAAATTTTTTACTGGTACTTGAACACCTTAACAAACTGAAAGAAAAAAAATCATATGGCCCATAAAACTTCAACATATAAAAGTCTCTACATAATTGAAATCAATTCGAAAATTTAATATCATTCAAAACAAAATTTATCTCATCCCAAATTTGTCTTAAAAAATGTCAATATTTTAATAGTGCCACAACTACATAAAATTCATTTATTACCGTATTCATTTATTTTAGTCCCATCATATTTTTATATATTTTATATTTAATTCTCATTGTCCTATCTATTTAATAAATTTATTTATTTTCTAGAATATTTTTAATTATAAATATTTTAATTAAAATATTTATTTTAGTGTTAAAATTATATATTTTTATTTGAGAATTGTTATTTTAATAAATTGCATTACAATGCTGCTGTCATAGTGGTCGCATAAAGTAATTTTTTTTAATTAATATTTCTAAAATGCCAACTTTATTAATTTCTGAAATCCTCACGAAAATTAGAAAAGTCTTATTGTGTAAAAGGATGATGAAGTAGTAAAAATAAAATTAAAACATTTTTCTTTTGAAGATGAAAAAACAAAAAAGAAACCGTTGCAATTCCAACCAAAATGACACACCCAATTGAAGATTTTCACAATTCCATTTTGTTAATTCTTATAATTATAATTATAACCATAATTTGATTTTGATTTCGATTCAAACCCAGGTAAACCTCTTCCCCCAAATCTTAGCAATTACGAACCCTAGAATCGATTTTTCCCCCTCATTTTCGTTTTTTCCATTCAGAATTTCCTGGTTTGGAGTTTATTCTGAATGGTGAAGAGGGTTGGTAAAGAGGTTGTTGTGTAATGTAATGCCTCGTGCCGTTAAGGTTCAGCCGGTGGTTATGTTGGAAACTGTTCAGGAAGTTGCAATATATGTTCATAGATTTCATAATCTTGATCTCTTTAAGCAAGGGTATTTATTATACATTATGCTTTTTGTTAATTAATTGATTGATTAATTAATTGCTTGTTATTTTTGAGTTTTTGATTAATCGTGTTTTGGTTTTTGATATAGATGGTATCGAATTAAGATTACAGTAAGATGGGAAGGTAATGAAAATAAAGCATTTGGTATTCCAGCTAGAATTGTTCAATATGAAGGTAATTTGTTTTTTAATAAATTATTAATAATGCTTTATTTGCTCTGGTGTGTTTGTGGGAGAAGAAATTGTCAAACTTTGATATATGCTGTGCCTTGGGTAGGAAGTAATGTTAGAAAATGAAACAACGGTGAAGTACGATTGGGCGTGTGCGTAAAAAAAATTACTCTATCTATGCGCTGTTAATGAACTCAAAATAAATATTGTTGAAAGCCAAGCCGTCTCAAGTTTTTATGGTCATGTGTAGATTAGTCGCAGTTTAACTATGATAAAACAAATAGAGACCCTATTTAACTAAGTTTTAAATGTGACAAACATTTTATGAGACTCTATTTAGCCACAGCTTAACAATGATAAATGTTGAACTCTGTCCGGTAGCCCATCTTACATGCCCTCAAAGACGGCCCTGGTTGAAAGGGTTTGGTAGCTTTAACTTCTATCACCTAACAAAGAATACCTCATGGTGTGTAAGTTGAGAAATATGAGAGCAAAGAGATACAATGATTTGTTAGAGTAGTAGGTTTTGTTAACTCTGGACTTCGCGAGCTGAACCTAGATATACCCTTTTAGTTATAGGTAGTTTATTTTATTATTATTAAATGTTGTGTATGCAGTAACTGCTATGTAACCGCTATCTAACTGCTTTAGGTAGTCAGAATTATAAATATATGGTGAAAGGGAAAAGGGAGGGGATTAGGTATTTTGTATGTTGGTTGGTTTGGGAGAGACTAGCCTCTCTAATTCTTAGAGGTTGGTTTATTTGTCAATTGTTGGTTTTGTATACAGATTGTATTATTGGTCAATTCAATAACTGCCTTGCTGGAAGTTACATCCGCAGGCTTTGTTTGTATGTTCTACCGTTTCTATTCTTATCCTTTATTCACATGTTCATCATATCCTCAATATTTATGACTGGTGCTGTACCAGTTCTCTAATATATTGTCCTAAATAAACAATCACAATACCAATTTCTATCATACTCACTGTGTGATCAAAGTTGAAACTTGAGTCTCAAAGTTGTTGAAAAATAAATAAGAGGTGTGATGTAAATCAGGATTACTGTTGTATTTCCCAAGTATGTTTCATATCTATGCATGAAATGTGGAGTTCTTATTTGGTAACTTTTGATACTACTATCTGCAATAATTGTCGCTTTCTCCTTGGTTTATGGCTATTTTATCATCTTTAATTGTGAACTATTAGTGAAGATTTTCTCATGCAAACTTTATATCTGAGGTAAAAAAATTTGGTTCCGCAGCTCCTGATCTGGACCAAAGCAGTATTTGTGGAGTATGGAAGATTGATGACACAGAAAACAGTTTCTCAACACAGACCTTTCGGATAAAGTATGCCAGGCAGGATGTATATTTATGTATGATGATCTCATTCATCTTATCGCGTAATAAATCTGTGGTAACGATCTCTCTGTCATTTCTTCTCTTTCTATGGGTATACCTTAGTGTGAATCAAATTATATCTTCATTCATGCCATTGTGCCGATTATTTATTTATTAAGATCCCCTAGATCATACCATGTAGTTAATAGAACACACATAACTTTCCATTTGCTTTTGGATAACGATTAAATTTAGAGTAATGAATCAGAAGTTGAAAAGAATATGACCTTCCATTGTTTGGGAATGTTTTGTAGTGTGGATTATTGAAAAAACTGTTTATGTATTAATGAGAAATGTTTTCCAAACATGCTACTTATTATATTGAAAAGTTGGTTTAGTAACTATATACTAACGTGTAAACAAGGTTTGCCTACCGTTAAATCATTGTTCACCATCTCGTCACAACGTAAGCAAGTTTCAAGATGTACCATTATGATATAACAAGATGACAAAATATGATTGGGGTTTACATGTTCTGATTTCCACATGTGAATTGAAATTAGTAATGGAAAAGTAAAAAACTAGTGTAGCTATAATTATGTTACTAAAGAGGATCTAATATAGCTAATACTAAAGATTTCCTAACCTTACGCGAGGAACCAAGTAGCATGACATGTATATTACTCATGTGTTTAGCTCAATATTCTGATCCCATTAAACTATTTTATGTGGCTCTTATTTACAGGATTTAACTACAAATGGTGTTATTTTAAAGTTCGAGCTTATTTATGCTGCAACACTTGAGGATGGGTGAGTCATAAAAGTAGTGTGTTCATTAGCCTATTATATGATCCACACACATGGTTTTTTCCTTTTCGGTTGACATTTGCTTGGTGAAAATGGGAATGCTGACTGATCCTTACCATCTACAGGGCTGACGTGCAAGCTTCTCCGGATGCTTTGCCGGCTGCTATCCATGAATTCCGAATTCCTCCTAAAGCTCTGTTAGGATTGCATTCTTATTGCCCCGTCCATTTTGATGCATTGCATGCAGTACTTGTCGATGTAAGTGTACATGTCAGTCTATTGAAAGCTGCCTCTAACACAGCTGCATCGAAGGTACCCAGGTTTGTTAGATGTTCTAATATTTTGTATGAATATACTAGGCTTTCATTTTAGTATTTTGTATTCATTTCATTGGTAAATTTTGAAGCAGTTTTGATTGAAAATTTGGCTGTGTATTATTGATTATGTAGATTATCATGTTCATGCTTCCATTTCAGCAACTCTGTCTACACTAACCTCTCTCAGGATAACAAAGATATGATGTGATACACCCACACCAATATGTGGATATGACTTTCTAAAACTTATAAACTTGATAATGCTGAGATACAACATATAAAATAAATTCATTTTCAATATAGAATATAAAATCCTAAATTAGTATAAATACCTCAATATTTTATAACTCAACTTTTGTTTACTATAAACAATGCATGCCATTTATCTAATCCTTGTGAATTTTCAATTTGTGTTGTGTTAGAATATAGGGACACTTAAGTAGTTGGGTTAAATAGGCTTGGAAGGGAATAATCTGTATAAATTGGGGAAATCAGAATAGAGAGAGGTATTCCGTGCATTGGATATTGTGAGTGAAAGGAAAGATCCTTTATGATGGAAAACCCTTGGCGGAATTCTATTCTCATTTTTTGTTTCAATTTCAACAATGCACTATTATTACCTTCTATCTTTCAATTCAATTCCCCAGTTCATCTTGAAATATGAGAGAAATTTGAATAGTGTTTGATGATAATTGAAGTTCAAGCTCAAATGGTAATTAATGTATAGGCTAATCGTATAAAATGTTAATCATACAACAAGGAAATGCAATACTCCTTCTGTCCTATTACGAGTGTCACATTTACAAAAAAACAATCTCAATGTGTGCCGTATTCATAAATGCAAATGAGAGGATAATGATTTTGGAGTGATGCATATATTATTCAGAAGTTTCAACATAAATTGACAAACAGATTTATTTTGAAAATTTAGGCTGTGAGACACTAACAAAATGCTTTCCACCAGTGCTGAGAATAGGGTGAAAATTATTTATTGAATATTATATATAGGCCTGTAGGTTATTTTAAATACTTGTATGTGTACTTCATGCTTGCAAATGAGAGGATAATGATTTGGGAGTGATGCACTTATAATACAGAAGTTTCAGCATAAGTTGACTAACATATTTGTTGAGTTTTTATGCTGCGAGACACTAGCAAAATGCTTTCCACCAGTGGTGATAATGGGGTGAAAATTATTTAAAGAATGTTATATAGGACTGTATGGTAATTTTAAATACTTGTATGTGTACTTGAGTAATATGGAATGATGAAAAGCCTCAGTAATTTTATAAGGGTCATTCTTTTTCAAGCATTAACCAGAGAATGTTTTGCATACTGATCAGGGCATCAGAGGTGTTGCTTCTCAAGATGTGAAAGATATCATGATTGTCAGAGCATTATTAGATTCTCGTAATTTATTGCTGGAAGAACTACACAAAATTAGCAAAGCAGTTAATGAAGCTATAGATACTTCAGATTTTGTGTCAAAAATGAATGATGTGAACTTAATAAATTTTGTGGTGCGAGCAAATGAGTTTGCAATAGATGGTGACAATTTAGGACAAGGCAAGCTACAAAATGGTCTTGAGGTCCTTGTTTTATTTCATGTTACACATCTTTAATTTTTGTGTGTGGCACTTATATTGGTTTTTCAGTTTCTTTTTTTATTGATTCTTTGTTCCTTTTTCTGTACAGGGAAAAAATGGTGCTCAGGATATTCTGGATGCTGAAAAGCTTCATTCCCTGTCTCAGAATGAACTGTTGGACTGTTTTCATTCATTGGGAGATCAATTGTACTATTTATGGAAGATATTTTTAAAAATTCACCGGGAAAACAAGACAGAGATACTAGAATTTTTACGCAACGCATGGGCTAAGGATCGGAAATCTGAGTGGTCAATATGGATGATGTATTCTAAGGTAGAGATGCCTCATCATTATATAAATAGTGGTAGTGATGAATCTTCCCGACGTGGTATGCACAAAAGAGTCACCAGTTTGTGGAAGTTACCTGATGAGGTAAGTGTTTGCATGTTACTTCATACTGTTGTCATATATAAGTTGCTTCTTAAAAGCATTAATTTTGTCTCTGAAATCGTACAGCCTCTTGAAACGGCAATATCGTGTGCCGAACTTCATCGTAGGAGCATTGCACAGATGCGGGTGAGCTCTCTACTTGAATATTGACTCTTAAACTATGAAGCATTG